CGCCCCCCCCCCCAAGAGGCTGTAGCCAGCTCCTGACCCACAGCCCCTCACAGTGCCCCTTCTGGGGCTGGAGCAGCTGGGATCTCCTACCTCTCCACAGCCACTGATCCTGCCCACAGGGCCCTCTGCTGCAGGGTAGTAATGGGGGCTGCTCCCCTGCCAGCCCAGGAATGTGGCAGCCTCTCACAAAGAGGGTAAAGAGTTAAACAGGCAGGGGATTGGCATTGTAGCTTGGCCCCCCTCAGCACCCCGACCAACATCTGTTGCCAGTGCCCCAGGAGGCTGGAGATCAGCGCTTGCTAATCGGGAGAAGCCTGAGTCAGCACCTCAGGACAGATGTCAGAGGAACACCCCAGGGTGGGCAGGGGGTGCTGTACTGCAGGGAGCAGGGTGAGGGGTGCAGTAGGGGCACCACACTGAGGGAGGCAGGAGGGAAGCAAGGGTAGGGTGCAGTCCCCCCAATGCCTCAGGCTGCTGCTAGGGATGTCAGGTAAGGGAGCCCCCTATATAACCAGCCCCCATGACCCACCCCAGAGTCAGCTGCATCTGCCCCAACCTTATCTTGGGGCAGGGCAAGCAAGGCCTCAATTTGAATCAATATGAAACAGCCCAATGCAATTAGGAAATACTCGCATCGACAAGCATGGGTAACATCCCGGAGGCAGAAATCTGTCAGAAAGCACCAGCCCTGAGCATATTTTTCATGGGACTTTATTTTTTTAAAGAGAGATTCCAGTAAAAATTCATGCATTTGGGGGGGAAGGGATCCTTTTTTTTTTTTTTTTTGCCATCATTTTTCATACTCAACTCCATAATATTCTCCCATTTAAATCACCAAGGACGCAACAGAGGAGGTTTATTGTGTGTGTGTCTGTGTGTGTATCTGTGTGTAATTTTGTTGTTGCCGCTGCTGTTCTTGGTTCTTTTTTTATTCTTTGTTTTTAACCTATGTCTCTTTCATATGAAACACACCGGAAACAGGTACTTTGATGGGAGGACAACATTTTTGCTGCTGCTTTTTTTGTTTGTTTTTCAGACATATTTTGAGGGGGTTTTTTTGTCCTTTTGTTGTTTTTTTTTCTCAAAAATTCTCTTTTCCTTTGAAGTCCATTTTTCTATCTTGTCACCATGAAAACCAGAAGAACAGAAAAGAAAAACCAGCTTATCTCCATCATGTTCTGTTTCCTCCCCTCTCCCCCACCCCCCGCCAACTGCCCTGTCTGAACTGAACAAACTCCCGAATGGTTTGTGGGGCAGGGGGTAGGG